ATGCCTTACTATACTATGACGTTTTTATGCCTTACTATACTATGACTTTTCATGCCTTACTATACTATGACTTTTTCTTGACTTTTTATGCCTTACTATACTGTCGTTTTTATGACTTTTTATGCCTTCCTATACTATGTCATTTTCATGACTTTTCATGCCTTACTATACTATGACTTTTCATGCCTTACTATACTATGACGTTTTTATGACTTTTTATGCCTTACAATACTGTCGTATTTATGACTTTTTATGCCATACTATACTATTACTTTTCATGCCTTACTATACTATGTCGTATTTGACTTTTTATGCCTTACTATACTATGTCGTTTTTATGACTTTTTATGCCTTACTATACTATGACTTTTTATGACTTTTTATGCCTTACTATACTATGTCATATTTATGCCTTACTATACTATGTCATTTTTCTGACTTTTCATGCCTTACTATACTATGACGTTTTTATACCTTACTATACTATGACTTTTTATGCCTTACTATATTATNATACTATGTCGTTTTCACGCCTCGTTTTTATGACTTTTTATGCCTTCCTATACTATTTCGTTTTTTAGACTTTTTATGCCTTACTATACTATGACTTTTTAAGCCTTACTATACTATGTCGTTTTCACGCCTCCTTTTTTACGACTTATTGAGCCTTGCTATACTATGACATTTTTAGACTTTTTATGCCTTACTATACTATGACTTTTTAAGCCTCACTATACTATGATGTTTTTATGACCTTTTAAGCATTACTATACTATGACGTTTTTATGACTTTTCAAGCTTTACTACACTATGACGTTTTTATGACTTTTTATGCCTAACTATACTATGTCATAATTATACCTTACTATACTATGACGTTTTTATGACTTTTTATGCCTTACTATACTATGTCGTTTTTATGACTTTTTATGCCTTACTATACTATGACTTTTTATGCCTTACTATACTATGACGTTTTTATGACTTTTCATGCCTCACTATACTATGTCGTTTTTGACTTTTTATGCCTCACTATACTATGACGATTTTATGACGTTTTAAGCCATATTATACTATGATGTTTTTATGACCATTTATGCCTCACTATAATATGACTTTTTAAGCCTTACTATACTATGACGTTTTATGCCTTACTATACTATTATGTTTTTATGACTTATTATACTGTCGTTTTTACGACTTTTTATGCCTTACTATACAATGGCTTTTTAAGCCTTACTACACTATGACATTTTTATGACTTTTTATGCCTTACTATACTATGACGTTTTTATGTCTTTTTATGCCCTATTATGCTATGACGTTTTTATGACTTTTTAAGCCTTACTATACTATGACATTTTTAGACTTTTTTTGCCTTAGTATACTATGACTTTTTAAGCCTTACTATACTATGACTTTTTATGCCTCACTATACTATGACTTTTTAAGCCTCACTATACTATGTCGTTTTTATGACTTTTTATGCCTTACTTTACTATGACATTTTTATGCCTTACTATACTATGACTTTTTATGCCTCACTATACTATGACGTGTTTATGACTTTTTATGCCTCACTATACTATGTCGTTTTTATGACTTTTCAAGCTTTACTACACTATGACATTTTTATGACTTTTTATGCCTAACTATACTATGACGTGTTTATGACTTTTTATGCCTCACTATACTATGTCGTTTTTATGACTTTTTATGCCTTACTTTACTATGACATTTTTATGCCTTACTATACTATGACTTTTTATGCCTCACTATACTATGACGTTTTAATTACTTTTTAAGCCTTACTACACTATAACGTTTTTATTAATTTTTATGCCTCACAAAGTCATATTTATGAATTTTTAATGCCTTACTATAGTATGTCGTTTTTACGACTTTTTATGCCTTACTACACTATGTTTTTATGACTTTTTATGCCTTACTATACTATGTCGTTTTTATGACTTTTTATGCCTTACTTTACTATGACGTTTTTATGTCTTACTATACTATGACTTTTTTTGCCTTACTATACAATGACTTTTTATGACTTACTATATTATGACTTGCTACATGATGAACTTTTCATGCCTTACTATACTATGACTTTATGACCTCCTCTCCTAAGACTATTTTATGCTTTACTATACTATGACTTATGATATATGACATATTTGTCACTATATCAAGAGTGATTTTACATGTTTCTATTTGCTTATTTGCTTCATAATAGGTTTCACGTCATTTTCACACATATGATTTTACTTCATATCTACATTTATGGAACATATGTACATATCTGAATGTAAATTCACAAACCTATTGGTTGACGGCCTTAAAAAGTCAATGTCTTTGTTTTGGAGGTGTGGCAGGGGTTCTTGTCCCTACCAATGCTTAGATCAAACCTACGCCCTTGGCCAAATTCAAATTCTGCTTAGGGCCCCATGAAGGCTTGGGCCAGCTCTGCCCAGCATGCATGTGTATTTGATGAGATGCAATATAAATCTTGAATAGGTTTTCAGTCCACCTGCATATCTTCACACTGTGGGCAAAAACTGGAGAAGAAATAGAGAGTGTATCCCAGCATGCTTTGGGCAAGAGGCAGGGCACATGCTGGAGAGGTTGCCAGTTATATTGTGTGAGGAAACTGAAATGCTCTGAGGAAACCAATGCCAACACAGGAGCAAGATGCATAGATAATGAAAATTGTGATTTTTGGTATTTGTGATTCTAGCGGTGTGGCTCCAGACTGAAGTATTGCAACAATGACTTTGGTGATCTCTGACTTTTCCTCTAGTGTCACTGTGAGGTTCAAATTTTTGGTTTCGAGGAAATATCTCAACAGCTTCCTTTTCCTCTTCTAATATTTTATGGTGCAGCATTGTCCATGCAAAATTTTTATTTGTCCAATACCTTTTTACCAATACCTTACTGTTTAGTGCTAATTAGCAAATATCTTGCTCTTTTCCAAAGTGGCACATTAGCATGCTGATGTTAAGATTTAACTCAAGGCAAAGTACAGTTTCACATTATAGGTCTTTTGAAACAGGTGCATGGAAAACCAACCCGACATGCATAAATTCATTTTTAAAAAAGAGAGACCCAATCCAAGGAGGACTCAAGCACAGCTAGTCTCAACACAAATAGACCGAAGGATGATTAGACCTGAACAGAGAGAGAAGGGAACACTGGCAGCAGCATGATTCGATATCGGTTAATACAATCAACAAACAACAATCTAATAATAACAATGACAATAATGATGTCTTAAGAACTGCTCCGACTTGGGTCCTGGCTCAGTTCTGTGAGTGGGGCCATGAAGACTTCTATCTCACAGAGACACTACTGTGGCTGGGAACTATTCCACTTACATTTCCCTTGATGCAACTCGAACACTGATAGTTTGGTCAGAGATTTGAATATGTTATACTAGTAGAGGCCACAAAAGGCTTTATACAACTTTTTTCACTTACGCAGTTGTAGTATTCACCAAGACCTGTGAACAGACTTTGATGTGTGAAATAGGTTCCCCTTTAAAAGTAAGTCAGTGAAGAGTTTATTTTGTTAAGAGGTCACGTTTAGTCAAATATTACAGAACCCTGAAATTGTTCAGGTGTTTACTTTTGAAAGCAAAAACAACAAATCCTATTAGATAAATACTATTCCTGGAGCAACTGCCCTGCAGCAGTTGCTCTCAGTCATCCTCAGCACCAAGCAAAAGGCATAAAACCTACCTGACACATCTGAGCCCTGCAGGAGCTGATGAACCTTAACATCCTTCAATGTGCTGTGAAGCCTGAGTTCACCCTTCACATGTAGCAGTGTGCTCCACTTCCTGCTTTCTAGGAGACAGATACAGAACACCTTTGAACTAAAAATACTGTAGTTGGTGAAAAAAAAATTATGGCAGCCATTTTTTTTTTTTTTAATGCCAGTTTTACTGCCATGCATTCATTTGTTTTCCCTTGGTCTTTGTTTCTCTTCTTCCCTTGCATTCCCATTACTTTCCTCTATAGTATTTATTTCAGGGAGTATTTACAAAATGATATGTTTTATAAAAAAAGCATTAGCATATCAAGTGCATGTATCTGAACCCCTGCAGTGCACAAAGCTGTGATTTTCCTCCTCGGTCCAACTACATCCTAATTTCCGTATGAGGATCAATAATGTTGGATCTCATTGTGTGCTTTTCTCCCTCTCCTCAGTAACACTCCCATGTGTAACATTAGCTGATAATAACACAGAATGCATCATCTTCACATGCAGAGATTAACATCACCAGTTGCTCAAACTGGGTCTTCTCCAGGGATAGAAAATCTTTCTGACCTGCTTGTTATTTTAGTTATGTTCAGACCAAGATGTTATTCTTGCTCGCTAGCCAGAGTCTGAGTGGGGTCTAAGGGTACTGACATAGCAAGTAACCCTGCATGAGAAATCATCAGACTTCATCACTGACTTGGATGAAATGATGACCAGCTCTGTATTATGTGTGTGTAGGTTTCCCAAACAGACTGACAGAACAAGTCCAAGAACAAGAATTTTAATGTTTTCAGCTGAGCCTAGACCCAAATTTATGTCAAACATGAACAAAAAAAACTATAAAAGTCTGTACTAATATGTTAAAATATCTTCTATTTTAATTGTGCATTTGTTTTGTGTTTATTGTATTGCATCATTAAAGGTGGGAGAAAGAAGCATCTTTCAAGGCTGATAAAATATACATGCATTTTGTATCAGCTTGTGCAGCTCTTCATTAAACCTAACACGTTTACACTCAGCACCGTCCATCAAATTAAAATATTCTAGATGTGTATAAAATGATGCACAAGACAGCGTCTCAGAATTCAGATAGACACCATTGGCATCTTAGTTAACTCCTGGTATCTCCTCTAGAATTTAAAATAAAGAACTGGGTTTTGATCTGTGTTTGGCTGTTTTAAGAGGTTAATACCAGGTCAACATACTGATAGTATAGATAGGATTTTTTTAAAAACGCTTCTCAGCTCCTGGTGTAATTTGTTCTGATACAAGTGGGTTTCTGACCTGCACAGAGGACTCTCTCAAGGGTCAGTTTTTAGCTTTAACTATTTGTGCAGTTTAGTTCCAGTGAGACCATCAAACCTGGATGCAAGTGCGTATATCTGATGTAGACCTTTGCAGGTGTAATGTGATATCAGCAGCAATCTCGGCAGCACATCATTCTGTCTTCTAAATTGTGGCTTTAATGTGAAACCCCATGCTGTATTTTTTTATGCACAGAGCATAAATCTGATCATTGTACCTCCTCTGCCCTTGTAGCTCCACATCGCAGCAGCAAACGGCTACGTGCAGGCTGCAGAGCTGCTTCTGGAGGGGGGAGCTCGCATGGACCTGAGAGATTCAGATGGATGGCAGCCTCTTCATGCTGCAGCGTGCTGGGGTCAGGTAAGGTAAACACAACAGGAAACAGGAAACAGAACATGCACAAAGGTTTCTTTCCATTAATGTAATTTGCTACTGTTGTGCTTTCAGATGCATGTGGCTGAGCTGTTGGTGTCTCACGGAGCCAGTCTCAATGCCAAGACCTTCCTAGACGAGACACCCATTGGTATATTTGCACCTCAACAATCTCTCTTATCAAAGCACCTGGTGATGGGGGGTCTCACTTCCAACTTGTTAAATCAAGTTTTACATCAAGCATTATTTCCCCCTTAATTCTGATTTAAATCTTTAAACAAGTTTGTATCATTATCAATGCCATGCAATGCATTTTTGTCAGTATTGATAACTGGCAAATTATAAGATCGTAAAAAAACAATATTGGAGACTAATGGCGTTGCTAAGATCTACATTTATCTAGACAAACATAAAGGAGCTGACGTACCCTGTTCTTCATCCTTGTCACTTAAAGATCTGTGTGAGGACGAGGAGTTCAGGGCCATCCTGCTGGATCTGAAACACAAACACGACATTATCATGAAGTCACAGCTCAAACACAAGACCTCACTGTGTAGGCGAACATCCAGTGCAGGCAGTCGTGGGTAAGTACTGACATCTGCTGGTGTTGTAAGCACTTACAAATTGTGTTTATTTTTTAGTTTCTTTTTTGAAAGACACATGGGACACACAGATCAGCTTCACTTGATCCTTGCAATTAAAGAGTGACACTAGAGACTTTAAAGTTAAACAATAATCTAGGATGGAATATTACTACATTTAATGAAGTTTAGAGAAGGCTTTCATATTTGCTTCCCTAGTTGCTTTATCTCACTTTGATCTCCACCTGTATCCACAGAAAAGTGGTGCGTCGAGCAAGCCTGTCAGACAGACACAACCTGTGCCGCAAAGAGTACGAGACAGAGGCCATCGTGTGGAGGGGAGGGAGGGAGGAGGAGGACGACAAAGAGAAGGAGTCTGATCAGGAGAGTAATCAAGTAGTTAATGTAAGTCTTCTGGTTATTATGTTTCATTCTTGTCGCCACTTCTTTAGAATGAAGCTGCAACACCAACACAACATTGTCACATAGTATTTGAAGTGAAGAGTGCTACAGTTGCTTTTTCTCTATGCAGTCACCACTGTTAGCACTATGTAGCTTCAATACACTGAATACAGCAGGTTTAGGACCACTATCTGGATTTCCCAGGGATTAGAGACATTTCTGCTTTTTGTCACAAATGACTCCTGGGATTCACTGAACAGTAGTTTATAAGGGGAGACTTTTAGCAATTTAGCAAATAAATTAGCACTACATTTTTTAGCTTGGGCACCAGAGCAAAGTTATCTCATTCAGGCCTTCATGTATTTAATAGAGAAGCCGTATACTGGGATTAAAGTAATCCTTATCGATGCCCTGCAGGTCAAACCAGTCGTAGCTGTGGAGCTGCCAGACAAGCCCAAGCTGCCCACCATCCTCAAAGATGGCAGCAGCAAACAGAATGGCCTCATCTCCACAACGACGTCTGTGCCACCACAGCCACCCTCCAATGGCAGCACGCTACCAGCAGATAATGGCGGGGTCGTCACCACCCAGCCCGCCCAGGAGGAAGCCTGGCCGAGAGAGCGCGCTCAGACTCTGTCGGAGCTGAAGAAACAGAGGGCTGCCGCCAAATTGTTGAATCACCCCTTGTTTAACGGTCACCTAGGTAACGGCTCCACAGACTCCTTCACTGATGCCAAAACCAACTCCGAGGACCCCCGCATGCCGCTGGTCTCCTCCAATGGCAGTGCAGTTTACTACACACCAGCCAGCGGTGACCCACCCCTCCTGAAACTGAAACAGCCAATAGAAGAAGAGCAGCCGAAGGCACGGACCTGCTGCTGTGTGTCGTAGCGCCGCAGTCAAGATGAGTGTTTGCACAAAGAGGAAGGAAGAAAGGAATGTGCCGTAGGAGGGAGGAAAGAAAGGCGTGTTCCTGTCTTTTAACGTCCTGTTCCTCCACTTCTTTGAAACTTCTTCCAGAGAAGACGAGTGGCCTGAAGAAAGTCTAGAAACTTTTCTTCATACCTCCCTATCATGTGACTCCTGTTACAATTGAAGAAACCTTCCCCCCAAATGGAGGCGTGTTTCAAGTGTAGAAGAGAAGAGGAAAGGAACTGAGCAGCGCCACCGTTTTCGTCCAGATGTTACTTGGATTGAAATTCCTTTTCATACATGGAGTCTCTTTTCAAGACATGCCAAACAGATAGAGTGTAAGATTCGCTGTTAAGAAATCAAATTTTTTTTTTTCTTTTTTTAAAGCTTTTCATCTGGAAATGGTAAAAAAAAATGTTGAATCAGGAGAGAGGAGAAGATATCAAGGTACTGCATGTTCTGCCCTCAGAGATGAAGATGGAAGAGAAATGGATGGTTGTCTTGTAATTAAACATTTCCTTCGTGAAAACCACAATGTTATGCTTTTACGCCATATTCGTGTGATTTTCAAAGGCCATCCTACAGCAATCCAGATGTATTGTGTTACATCGTGTTGTATTACCAACATATCAAAGAGCTAAACGTAGCAAAAAGAGATCCGAGACATCTCTTCTGAAGTCTCCTTCATTTTGAAATGCTGCCTGCTCAAGTAAAGGGAAGGAATGCCATAAAACAGTGTTAAAATATTCAGGAAGTGTACTTCAGGAAGTGTACTTCTACCACAAGAGGTAACAGAAAAGAGTATAGTTCTGCACTTGTGTTTGAAACTGTCACTATATTCTGTCAACTGTGCTTCACCTCACCGTCCTCCCATATCAAACCTAAACTGACAGGTCATGCTGTTTTATGCATAATCCACTTTGTGCTCACTCGTACAGACATGGTTGAAAATTCCTGTACGTTTCTTTATTTATGAAATTAATGTAATGTGTAAAAAAACTAAAAAAAAACAAACAAAAAAAACCATTATGGTTCCTAAAGTTGAGTGTATTTATTATTTGGATGGTGTGTGGAGAGTGTGAATGCAATATAAGATGAGTTGGAGAATCTTCCAGCAAAGCACCTTCTGACATGGAAAATCAAACAGATACAGTGAAATAAGGGTTAATGTCTGCTATATGTACATGGTATTAAAAACACAAACAGGCCGTCCCACTGGGATGGAGTCATTTGTGTCACTACAAATAACAGTGTTATTTGTGTATGTTTTGTTTTCTGTTTTATTTTTTGTTTTTTTCCTGGTGGCCATTGTGTGGCTTTATCTTCTCCCAGTCACTGTATTTGTCTTATTAACAGAAACTTTAAATGTTATGTAATGAATTACTGTATAGTATGAGTTTTCTGAGGTTATACATGGACTCAATGCTTGCCTCTCTTTGTTTTTGGTTTTTTTTAACATTAATCCAGACTTGGATTTGGTATGTAGCAAGCCCACAGTATCATGTCAGGTGACCTTTAAAGTACCATGGTTTCACAAACACAAAATATACATTTGGGCACATAAATTTTTGGCAGAATTTCCATAAATTTGCCTCTGTACGCCACCATACAGATTTGAAACGAAGCCGTCAAGATGTAACTGAAGTGTAGACTTTTAGCTTTAATTCAAGGGTTTTAACAAAAACATCGCATTAACCATTCAGGAACTTCGGCTATTGTTATACACAGTCCCTACATTCTCGGAGGCTCTAATTTGACAATTGACTGGTAGTCAGTTTCACAGCCTGTTCCCTCATTATTTCATGACAAATTAAGCAGATAAAAGGTCTGGAGTTGATTCCAAGCATTGAATTTGCATTTGGTAGCTGTTCATGGGAACTCTCAGTATGTGGTCCAAAGAGCTGTCGATTCAAGTGAAGGAGGCCATCATTAGGCTGAGAAATCAGAACAAAGAGAGGCCAAATCATTTGGTACATTCTGTAAAGGAAGGAGCTCAGCAACAGGCTGGAAGACAACTAAAGTGGATGATTGTAGAATTATTTCCTAAGTGAAGAAAAAACCCTTTACACCATCTGGCCAGGTCCAAAATAGTAGAGGAGGAAGTAGATGTATAATTGTCAAAGTCTGACATCAAGAGACGCCATCATAAATGTAAATACAGAGGGTTTACCACAAGGTGCCAAACCACTGGTAACAAGAACTGAAAGGCCATATTAGACTGTGCCAGAAAACATGTAAAACGGCCCGCCCAGTTCTGTAACAAGATGAAACCAGGATGATGGGAAGAGGAGAGTATGGAGAAGAAAAGGAACAGCTCATGATCCAAAGCACACCACATCATCTGTCAAACATGAAGGAGGCAGTATAATGGCAAGGGCATGTATGGCTGCAAACAGAACTGAGTCAGTGGTGACTGCTGAGAGAAGTAGCAGGATGAATTCTGGGATGTATAGGGCTAAAATATCAGCTCAGACTGAGTCAAATGCTGTAAAACTGATAGGACGGTGATTCACAGTGCAGATGGGTAATGACCCAAAACACAACCCAAGAGCTTGTCAAGGCAAAGAACCTGAATATTCTTCAAATGCCAGGGTCTTTTCACAGACAGTGACCCACAAACAAAAAGCAACTGAAGGTGGCTGCAGTAAAGGGCCTGTGAAAATTGAGGGACTATGCATAAAAATGTATTTCAGAAACGTTAATTAAATATTTTTGTTAAATCCCTTGAATTAAAGCTGAGAGTCTACAGTTCAGTCACATCTTGCTGGCTTCATTTCAAATCCATTGTCGTGGTGTACAGGGACAAAATTTTGAAAATGTGTCACTGTCCAAATACTTATCAACCAGGCTGTACACCTGCCATTCCAAAAACAAGTACTAGAACAGTTCGAGCTTTCAGGAAATCAGCTTATTTGCTTTTTTCCCCCAAGAGTTAGATAAGAAGACTGATGCCGCTCCCATGTCTGTGCAATAAATATGTAGCTGGAGCAAGCAGCTCATTAGCTTAGCTTAGCATTAAGCTGGAATCAGACTGGAATCAGCAGGAAACAGTTAGCCTAGCTCTGTCCAAACGTAACAAGATCCTCCTACCACTACCTACTAATCAACATGTTATATCTTGTTTGCTTAATCTGTACCGAAAACCGCAGTGTTGGTTTATGTGCCAGACTGTTTCCTGGCAACCAGCCGTGACTCCAGGAAGACAGGCCAAGAAGCAGTCCAGCACTACACTTTGTTTTCTTGCACAGATTAAACAAACAAAATACAACATGTTAATTAGGAGGCGTTTGAGGTGCTGGCATGCAGGATTTAAAAAACAAAACATACCTTTTTACAGAGCCAGGCTACCTATTTCCAGTCTAAATGCTAAGTTAACAGACTGCTGGCTTCAATATTGTATTAAAACAGAGACATATGACAAATGGTATCAATCTCCTCATTGAACCCTCGGAAAAAGAAAGCGAATAAGCAGTTCTCCAAAATGATGAACTATTCCTTTAATGTAGTAACAGATCCTCCTTGTGAGTGCCAAAGAGTCTTCCGTGATTTCAAAAACAACTTAAAAAGACATTTGAAAACTTTGCGTAAAGGCCGTCATTGTTTGTTAATGACCACCAACCCCTTCAAACATGTGATTACCCAGAATGCCACTACCACTGTTATCCCCATAACATCAACTGTACAGTGTCAAATATTTGTACAGATTCGTTTGTAAATATGTTTGTATTAGTATCCCCTTATCTGTTCCCATGAACTGCATTCTCATGTCCGTGTTGTTACTGTTGAGGAACATATAGGAAAATACAATTACTCACGTTAATGAACAGTGTTAGCAGACATTTGGTTGTTAAGGGGGAAAACTGTGGGACTATGCAGAACCCCCTTCCACTTCCTATAGTATCCAGCAGTCTAAAATCTGTCTGGCTTCATCATAATACTTGGTGTTTCCTCTCTGCTGTTCAGTCACCAATGTCTGAATGGTGGAGTTTTTCTGCAGAGGTCAGTTTTTAACGTTGCACTCCCGTAGGAAGCAGTTTAGTTTTTCAACTCAATTTGAGGAAGTACAAATTAAGTCAAGGGGATTGCAATTTCCCCTGGTTTTGGTTCCTTCTTTTGTGTCCAAGGCAGTGACATAATCTTGTTGTGAGTCAGCTGAAATTCACTAAACTCACTCCAGCTCACGTCTGTTCCGGCTGCTGCAATAGACTGAGTTTAAATTTCAGATCTGCTTCCTTAGTAGTAAAATTCAATCAGACTGAATTGTAATTTTGAACTACGACCTGGTCAGTACTAACCAGAAAGGGACAGTCACCTGTTAAAAGTAACCTGTGTTCTCATGGTATATAAATCAAGGCTTGTCTTTGACTGCAAGCCTCACTGTCTATAAGGATAAGAATATAAAAGAAGAAAAACTACTGATTTTGTAATTACTGGAATATATTGATGGTTGCATTAACATATTTTGAATAAATTGTATATTTTGAGAATTTTATACAGTCTCCTCTGAATTAGTAAAGCATCTTTGTGTTTTATTATGAAATGGTAGAATGTATTTCTTGTATTTTTGATTAGAATGTATCCTGAAGGCCTGAGGAAGAAATGTCATGAATTTTAATTATTTGAACCATGCTTAGTTTATCTTGGCCAGACACATAAATAACACCCTCAAATGTGGATGCATCACCACCATGTTGAGAGAAACTGAGCATTCCTAATGTTGCTTGACTTTTAAAAGCAAAGAAGAAGGGAAGCCATCAAATACAGAAAAGTGAGAAACCTTATGCTAAAAAGAATTTGCACAAACACAGGCTCTCGGTGGCCAAGCCATGCAATCTAGGGTAGCTGCAGATCCAAGCCTTTTGACAACAGAGGCAACAGCCCTATAAATGCGAATGTCCGTGACTGACTGACTTAGTGAGTGATAGAGTTGAGTGATCAAGTTACACCATTGGTTAACCGAAGGTCACGTCACTGAGTCATTAAGTTACACCATTGGTCGGGGAGCCGAGTGTTGAGTTTCCCCACTAGCCCTTGCTCTTTCAAAATAAATTGGTACAAACAGTTTCTTTTTACAGTGTTGCCAAATTAACACTAGATTCATAGACTTCATAGACTCAAAAAAGCACCCCGTGACAAATCTAGCAACTTTTTGGACAAACCCTACTTACATAGAAAAGAGACACCACCACTGCCCCACGAGCAAGAGGCACATCTCTCTCTGCGTCTACAACCATCTACATTCTCAATTTCACACATTGACCATACGTGGTCCAGCCATACACTTGGTTTAGACCTAGTCAGTTTATCTTCTTTCCTGTACATATTTAGCATAATAAA